AATTTTAACATTTCTAAGAACCAGAACGCGATGGGACTGCCTTGTTTTTCTGTGTCACTGGTTTTCTGCCTTTGACAGAGTGTAATCTTACCACATTTCTAACACTATTAGTGGAAAATATCTGAGTTTTCCTTCTCTGACAGGTTTCTGCTTTACACAGGTTCTGGCTTTCGCAGATTTTACTGTAATAGAAATTAACGCTACTTGCTTGAGTACTAGTCATTAAGCAAGCATTATTATGATGACATTAAGTAAAGGCGGGAAGGCCTGGCACAGCTTTGTTTAGGCACCCAAGATTTTCCCCTTATTTTTCTTCAAGGCAGAAAGCTAATTGTCATAACTGGATAGTAAGTCTCATTTATCAGAAACACAGCACCATGTTGGACAAGGGAAATGATTCCCCTGAATTATTAATTGGTACATTCACCAATGTGTATGAATTGTTGAAGTCCATCAGTCATGAAGTCATGAAGACCCTCATGACATACCTTAAAAAAAAAACTGTAATCTGTTGCTGCCGAGTGGATTCCAACTCATTTCGACTATAGGAGAGAGCAGAGCTGCCCCATAGGAGCAGCTGGTAGATTCGAACTGTTGACCTTTTGGTTAGCAGCCAATCTCTTAACTACTGTGTCACCAGGGCTCCAACAGGGTGCCACCAGGGCTCATGACATACCAGTAGTCAAAAAAAGTTGGGCTTATTGGCTCGTTCATCTAAGAGTCAATACTATCTTACTCTTGTCCTGAAGTGAGCATGTGAAGACTTATAAGTACTAAGAGGAGAAACCTGCTCTAGAGGCTCAGAAAACCTAGCCATCACTCAGGAAACTTACTCCTTAGATGAAGGAAGTAAAGTTTCACTGTTTTGCTAGCTTAAACAACATAATCCTATACCTGAGTTGACTTAGCCTTTAATGTGGCTTAGCCTGCTTTGTAGTGGAATGAACAAATAATCAGGTATCACTTGGTGCATCACCTAGATCCTGTTAATAAATACATTTGAGATAAGAGTCCCTGGGCTACATCTCATCAAGGAATAAAGATTTCCCTCCACCTTCTATTGATGATTTATGGTTTTAATGTTGATGACCTCTTCATGATATCTGATAGCTGTATGTGGAAATATTCCATTTGGTGTTCTAAACACAAAGTATGACAGCGTATTTTTATTTAAAAATTCTGGCTTTTCCTATGGTGGGGAAATCACTAACTAGATAAGTTAGTTAACAAGTGTTAACTTTGGTGAAAGGGAAGACAACACGTAATATAAGGGAAGTCAGCACAACCTGACCAAGGCAAAGCCATAGAAGCTTCCTGGATACATCGAAACACCTTGAGGGACTGAGTTACTGAGGCCAAGGGCTGGGGACCATGGTCTTGCGAGACATCTAGGTCAATTGCATAACACAGTTCATAAACAAAATGTTCTAATCCTACTTTGGTGAGTAGCTTCTGGGATCTTAAAAGCTTGTGAGCTGCCATCTAAGATACATCTATTGGTCCCATCCCATCCGGAGCAAAGGAGAATGAAGGAAACCAAAGACACAAGGAAAATATTTGTCCAATGGACTAATGGATCACATGAACCACAGCCTCTACCAGCCTGAGTCCAGAAGAACTAGATGGTGCCTGGCTACCACCATGGACTGCTCTGACAGGTATCATGATAGAGGGTCCCAGGCAGAGTGAGAGAAAAATGTAGAACAAAATTCAAATTCACAAAAAAGACCAGACTTACTGGTCTGACAGAGACTGGAGGAACCCTGAGACAATGGCCCCTGGACACCCTGCTAACTCAGAACTGAAACCACTCCCGAAGTTCACGTTTCAGCCAAAGATTAGCCAAGCCTGTAAAACAAACAATAACACACATGAGGAATGTGCTCCTTAGTTCAGTCAGGTATAGGAGACCTAATGGGCAACACCTGCCCAAAAGCAAAGACGAGAAGATAGGAAGGGACATGGAATCTGGACAAATGGACACCCAGAACCCAGGTGTAAAAGGAAATGGGAAGAGTGCTGACACATTGCTAGGATTGCAGTCAATGTCACAAAATAATCTGTGTATAAATTTTTGAATGAGAAACTAATTTACACTGTAAACTTTCACCTAAAACAATAAAATTTTTTAAAACATTCTGGCTCTTTTCTGGAGTTTAATACTAAGTGAAAATCACTTGAGACTTTCTCATGCATTTCCTTTTTCAGATGCTGGCTTAAGAACTCTTCTATATATTAATGAAAGAATCAAACAAAACTCCTGATTTGGTTTAGTAAAATAAATTCCAAATTTGGGAAAGGAGAAATGGCTTCTTCCTGGTTCTACCTAAACTTTAATATGTTATGTCTCAGAGCCTTAATTTTCCTAATTACAGAATGAAGGGGTTGAGCTACATGATTTCCTAGCATCCGTTAAGTTGTATAATCTGCCAGACTCTATGTGCTTTTCTGGGTATAAAAGTTTACATTTCCCTAGGAAAATCTTTCTTGAGTTCACCTATATTTTTCTTTCTACCCTGAAAGTCAGAAAAAAGACCTTCTCCACAACTTAGCATGAATATCATCTTTCAACAATCAGTTCTATTTACTTATAACAAGACAACTATTCAGTTTTTAAAAATTAATTTCAACTCTCTTGCCTGAAAGTATTTTTCCAAAACAACCAGCAAGATAAAGTGTAAATCAACACATTCTTTTCTTCCATATTGTCAGCTGATGAAAAGATCAGTGAGGATCCTCTAATGGCTAGATGATCAAGCAACTGGGTGATCACTCTGAACAATCAGAGTATCTGGAGATAGTTCTCTCAGTTGGCTGTGACAACAGGCTCATTTCCAAAAGTCACAGCTCTGGTAACTACCCCACATTTGTTCACTGTTTACTGAGCGCCTACAGAGTGTCAGCCATTGAGCTAAGTGCTGAGGATATGATGATGAATAAGACCCAGCTCTGCCCTCAAGGATTAAGCAGACAAATGCAGCGTGATTAGTAAAGAAAGAAGACACAGGAGGGCTGTTCAACTACATTTTGCGAGGTAGTTTGGGACATCTTCTGAACTATAAGTAGGAGTTATGTAGGCAAATGTGAAGAGGGAATAGGAGTAAGAGGCTTCCATGCAGGGGAGGCAGCAGAACACAGGTCCAGTGGGGGTGTGGGAAGAGAGAAGAGAGAGCAGGAATATTACAAGAGTGTGCTCATGGTTTATTTGGAAAATTCCAAGGAAAGAAGAAGGTCTCTTTTATTCCTTTTTTTTTTTTTTAATTGTGCTTTAGGTGTATCAATTAGTTTCTCATTCAAAAATTGATACACAAATTGTTTCATGACATTGGTTGTAATCCCCACAATGTGTTAGCACTCTAACCATTTCCACCGGGTTCCCCATTTCCATTTTTCCAGTTTTCCTGTCCTTGCTTTTGGGTAGGTGGTGTCCATTTGGTCTCATATACTTGATTGATCTAAGAAGCAGGTTCCTCCCATATGTTATTATTTGTTTTAAAGGCTTGTGTAATCTTTGGCTGAAAGGTAAACTTCGGGAGTGACTTCAGTTCTGAGTTAAAAGGGTATCCGGGGGGCATGGTCTCAGGGGTTCCTCCAGTCTCTTATTAGATCAATAAGTCTAGTCTTTTTTGTTGAATTCCGTATTTTGTTCTACATTTTTCTCCCACTCTGTCTGGGACCTCTATTGTGATCCCTGTCAGAGAGGTTGGTGGTAGTAGCCAGGCACCATCTAGTTCTCCTGGGCTCAGGTTGATGGAGGCTGTGGTTCATGTGGTACATTAGTCCACTGGACTAATATTTTCCTGTGTCTTTGGTTTTCTTCATTCTCCTTTGCTCCAAATGTGATGGGACCAGTAGATGTATTTTAGGTGGCTGCTCGCAAACTTTTAATATGCCAGATGCTACTCACCAAAGTAGGATGTAGAACATTTTCTTCATGAACTATGTTATGTCAATTGACCTAGATGTCTCCCGAGACCATGGTCCCCAGCCCTCAGCCCCAGTAACTTGGTCCCTCAAGGTGTCTGGATGTATCCAGGAACCTTCTATGACTGTGCCCCCTTTGTGCTCTTATGTGAATATACATGATGTACATACAAATATACGTATCTAAAAATATTCACAGCCTAATCTATATATGTATTTTCATGTATTTGTTGGCTGCCTGAATATCCTCTTTGGTGAAGTGTCTGTTCATGCCCTTTGCCCATTTCGTGATTCATGTGACAGCTCTTATTTCTCTAGGATATATTCCAAGGAGTGGGATTACTGGATCGAATGGTACTTTTATTTCTAGCTTTTTAAGGAAGTGCCAAATTGATTTCCAAAGCGTTTGCACCATTTTACATTCCCATCGTTTACATTCCCACCAGCAGTATATAAGTGTTTCAGTCTCTCCACAACCTCTCCAACATTTATTATTTTGTGTTTTTTGGATTAATGCTAGCCTCGTTGGGGTGAGATGGTATCTCATGGTAGTTTTGATTTGCATTTCAGGTTGTTGTCTGCTGTCATCGATTCTGTCTGAAAGACTCCCTTTAATACTTCTTGTAAGGATAGTTCAGGTTTCACAGATTCTCTTAATTTCTGTTTATCTGGGAATGTCCTAATTTTGCCATTGTATTTGAGAGACAATTTTGCTAGGTATATGATTCTTGGTTGGCAATTCTTTTCTTTCACGGTTTTATATGTGTCATCCCATTGCCTTCTTGCCTTCATGGTCTCTGCCGAGAAATTAGAGCTTAGTCTTATTGGAGTCCTTTTTTATGATATTTCATTTTTCATGAGCTGCTCTCTGAAGTCTTTATCTTTGGGCTTGGAAAGTTTGATTATGTCTTGGTGACTTTCTTTTGGGGTCTATCCTGTATGGGGTTCGTTGAGCTTCTTGACTGGAAATCTTCTCATCTTTCATGATATTGGGGAATTTTTAAGAAGAAGAAGTTCTCTTACCCAATGTCCACTTAATGGATTCTGACTTAACTAATACTCTTCTCTACTGACAGGACTTTCTGGACTTTCTGTTCCAAGCTGTTAGAATAAAGATGTTGCCACCCCACCACACAAAATCACCTACAAAATAACAAGGATAACTCAAAAGACAAGCACCACCTCTATCTTCAATGAAACTAGAAGCTATATGTAAACCTGAGCAATGAAATATGAAGATGGAAAGCAAACAGAGGAATGGTGAATGACTTACTGATCAGAGAGAGCATTCAAACCTAACTGGCTAGGAATAAAGGGTAGGATATCAATGAAAAGAAAGTTGGTTACCTAGAAACCTTGCACAGGCTCAAGGATTGCGATCACCAAGGAGCATGGAAGGTGGAAGTGAAGAGGTTGGAACCTCATGAAAACGAAGAGACTATGAAAATCTGAGAAGGATGCTTGATTGCCCTGTGCTTATTTACTCTCAGGTAACAGCCCTTCTCATCTCCCTGGAGAAATATATTCTCTGGAGAAATCAAAACAGAGGGGTTTTAAATTGGTGACACAAGGCAGAGAACAGGTTGGGGGTACGATGCTGAATGAAACACACGTAGATTAAGTGGAAATCTACCCAATGGTCTATGAGACCATCATGCTCCTTTTTCTCACCCAAAGCAAGAACACTGAAGCCGGGGATATATACCCTGGAGATTGGAGAAACCACACCACCCCAGAGAAAAACATGATGATAGTGTCCTTTGGGGGTTCCCAAAGAACAAATCATGTCATGTGAAGTCCACTCTTTGAACAAGCCCCACCCACACACACCAGTCTTCAGGTCAGCTTTTCAGTGTCTACCTGCTAACTACGAATATGTAGCCAAAGCTCACCAGGCATTTGCTGAAATCCTCCAACCAGAAACAGACACACCAGAGCAAACAGAAAAGGGAACTCAGAGGAAATAAAGATCATGCAGGGAGGAAAGCAGAAGATGATTTCAAAAAGGCTATAATTAATAACAATTAATATTTTCTAAGAGAAGATATCAGGAAATGAGTAGAATGCTCTAAAAAAAAGCAATAGAGAATAAAAAAAGGGCAGAAATTAAAAATCCATTACAATAACTTGGAAGAGAAAGTTGAGGACACCTCCCAGAAAGTAGGAAAAAAAATGGTCAAAAGTTGGAAAATAGAGAAAGAAAATATAGTAGTCCATCATCTGATGAATAAGAGAAAACTTCCCCAATATCATGAAAGATGAGAAGATTTCCAATCAGGAAGCTCAATGAACCCCATCCAGAATAGACCTCAAAAGAAAGTCACTAAGACATATCATAATCAAACTTTCTAAGTCCAAAGATAAAGAAAGAATTCTGAGAGCAGCTTGAGAAAAATGAAATATCACAAAAAAGGATTCCAATAAGACTAAGCTCTAATTTCTCAGCAGAGACCATGCAGGCAAGAAGGCAGTGGGATGATATATATAAAACACTGAAAGAAAATAAAGGTAGAGTAAAAGAAGTTAAGGGGAGAAAATTTAAGACAAGAAAAAATTTCAGAACAGGGGTTTTCAGTTTGAAGGGGCCAATGAGTGGACAATGAATGAAAATAGATCCACATCAAATTGCATCATCATAAAATTTCAGAATATCAGGAATAAAGATCCTAAAATTTTCCAGAGAGTTTATGTTAAAGACAAAGCAGTCATGTGACTTACATTTTTAGCAACACAGAAGTAACAATACTCTCCTGCAACAACAAGTTAGAAAATGCTGACTAAAATACAACAAACATTCTTTTACAAAGTACAGATGAGATACTTGTGGTAATGAAATAATTCTGTTTCTGTATTTTGGTTCCAGAAACCTACATGTGTGAGTAAATGGCATAAAACTATACATACATATTTTGCCAATCTTCCTTTTGCTATTGTAGTATAGTTATTTAAGGAGTCCGTGGGAAGTGTGAGGAGCCGTGGTGGCACAGTGGTTAAGAGCTCGGCTGCTGACCTAAAGATTGGCAGTTCAAATCCACCAGCCACTTCTTGGAAACTCTATGAGGCAGTTCTACTCTGTTCTATAGGGTTGCTATAAGTTGGAATTGACTTGAAGGCAACAGGTTTTTTTTTTTTTTGGTTTGGGAGGTGCAAAAGGTTAAGTGTTTGACTATTAACCAAAAAGTTTGGCAGTTCAAACCCATCCTGAGGCACCTCAGAAGAGAGGCCTGGTGATCTGCTTCTGAAAAGTCATAACCTTGAAAGCCCTATGGGGGGTGCATTGTTACTGTGCAACACATGGGGTTTCCATGAGTTTCCATGAGTAGGAGTTGACTCAATGGCAACTGGTATAGTTATGTCAGCTGGAACCATTGGGGTAAACTGGGGGAAGGGTACACTAAGCTCCTCTGTACTATCTTTGCAACTATGCTATTTTGTAATGTCCTGCTAACCTATAATTATTTCAAAATAAAAATAAAAATTAAATTAACAGTTAAAAAAAATGGGATATCACTTCTGAGATTAGAGTACAGAAGTCTGTGACTTACATCTTGCTCACTTTCTCTCAGCTTGTTTGCTCTGATGAAGCAAGCTGCTATGTTGTAACTTGCCCAATGGAAAGGCCCACATGGCGAGGGACTGAGGGTGCTGATCAACAGCCAGTGAGGAACTAAGGCCCTCAGTCCAACAGTCTGTAGGGACTTGAATCCTGCCAGCAACCACTGGCGTGAGCTTGGAGGTAGATCTAACCCTGTCACATCTTAAAATGACTGCAGCCCTGGCTGACTCCTTGAGTGTAGCCTGAGACAGAGGACTCAGCTAAGCCGTGCCCAGATTCCTGACCCAGAGAAACTGTGAGATAATAAAGGGAGTTGTTTAAGCTGCTAAATTCTGGGCTTTTGCAGCAATAGATAACTAATACCTTAAACCAAAAACCAAACCCACTGCTCTCCAGTGAATTCTGACTCATAGTGACCCCATAGGGTTTCCAAGGCTGTAAATCCTTACAGAAGCAGATTGCCACATGTCTCTGGCAGAGCCATTAGTGGTTTCGCAGACCTTTCAGTTAGGAGTCAAATGCTTTCACCATTGTACCACCAGGGCTCCTATATATACTTTAGAAGGAAAATAACTGAATCCAGAAGAAAATAACTGAACCCGGAGGAAAGAATTGAGATGGAACATGGAATGAGGAGGAAAGATATTGGTAAACATGTGGCTAAATCTATAAAACACTTCCTGCAAGAAACAGTGATAATGACAATGGCAATGGGGAGGTAGAGAATCATGGTTGAAATAATATGCAAGATGGGAGGGAAGCAGTTGGAGGTAAAGTATTTTAAGGCATTTTGTAATTTAGAAAGAGTAGGGAATGGGGATGCTTTTAGACTTTCTAAGTCAAATATGCATATTAAATTTTAGACTAATCAATTAAAAGTAGAAATAGAATGTTTCAATTTTCAAACATTCAAAAATTTTCAAAGTAGAGGAAAATAGGAAATGTACTGGAGCCAATAGAAGGCAGAAAATAAAGAAAAAAGCATCAAGAAGAAAATAGTATCAAAAAAGAAATGGATTACTCTCCAGTTAAAAGAGAACGTATTTTGAATAATAAAAATATCCTAGTGATCGCTAGTTACAAGAGACACCTAAAATAGAAAGGTTGAAAGTAAAATAACGGAAAAAGATAAACTATGCAAATACTAAAGGAAAAAAAGCTGGTGTAGCTGTATTAATAGCAAACAAATTCTTTTCTTTAGAGCAAAACCATTATTACGGATAATATGTCAGGATATATGCCCCTATGTGTATATACACTCACTCATATATATAGATACATATAGTGTATGTGGAGTGTGTGTGTGCGTGCGTTGTGTATGTATGTCTGCGTATACACAGATACATACTGTATACTGATAAAATGATCAGCTCACCAGGAAGATATAAATACTGTGTATCTAAATAAATCCAATACAAAAGCATAAAAATATATAGGGCAAAAATGGACAAAATGACAACGATTCTAAGTTATAAATCCCCAATTACCTCAGTAACTGAAAAATGAAACAGACTTCCTTCCCAAGCATACACAGAAATTTAACAGAAGCTCACCCAACACAAAACAAATCTAATCATCAAAGCAAATGTTCTCTGATTACGGTATAATTAAATTTAGAAATCAATGATGAAAACTATCTATATTGAGATATTAAAGAACAGACTTTGAACTCATGGGTTAAAGACGACATTGTAATGAAATTAGAACCAAGTCAAAATTAAATACAACATTTCAAGGAGAGAAATTTATGGCCTTAAATGCTTATGTTGGTAAGGAATAAAGATGGAAAATCAATGAGTTATACGTCTAACTCAAGAATTAGGGGAACAACAAAAATGCCAGCAACAAGAGAGTAACCTTCAAAAAAGTAGAAGGCAAGACATAATAAAGGCGAGAGGATAAACTGATAAGATAGAAAAGAAAATAATAGCAAGGATCAACAAAACCAAAAATTGGTTTTTGAAAGACATTTAAAATAGAAAAATAGTAAATCTGATTGAAAATCAAAGAATAAAGATTCAAATTACCAGTATTAGCAACAAGAAAATGATGTAAACTCAGAAGAATCAAATTTTAAAAAAGAGAATATTATAAATGACCTTCAGCTAATGCATTAGAAAACTTGTATGAAATAGAAAAACATAATTTACCAAAATATAATTTACAAAATTGGCTGAAGAAATCATAAAACCTGAATAGGTTTCTTATCAATTAACAAAATTGAATTGTTGTTAGTTGCTGAAGTTAAAAATTTATACTCTTCTGACCCCCTAACACCCCAGATAAGACAAACCAGTATGGGGTTTGTCTAACAGATATGCAACGTACAGGTACTCCAATCTTATTATAAGTCTTCCAGAGTTTTGAGAAAGAAGAGATGCCCCTAAAATCATTTCATAAGGCTAGTATAATCTTGGCTATTAAAAACCAGGTAAGGATAGCATGAGGAAAAAAATGGTAAACCAATATTACTTATGAATACTAGCAAACTAAATATAGCAAAGTATTAAAAAAAATCATGACTTAATATTAAAAAAAATCATGACTGAATGCAGTGATAGTTTAACATTAGAAAAATTTTAATGTATTTCATCATATTAAGAGTGACAGATTAAAGAGAAGAGACCATATGATCATATAAATATACTCAAAAATAATTACTAGAAACTAGTAATGAGGAGGCATATTCCTTTAACCTATTAACAAGTATCTATCAAAAATCCTGGCTCGGTGGTTAAGACCTTGGTAGGTAGTTCAGATCCACCAGGCTCTCCTTGGAAACCATATGGGGCAGTTCTACTCTGTCCTATAGGGTTGCTATGAGTCAGAATCAACTCAAAAGCAACGGGTTTGGTTTTGGTTTTATTAACAATCTTAGCAAACATTGTACTGAATGGTAGAATGTTAGAAGCTTTCCCTTTAAAGTCAGACACAAATGTGCCACAATACCAATTCCGTAGACTCTCACACTGGAAGTCCTCACTAAAGCAAAAGAATATAGAAAAAATAAAGTTTAAGGATCGGAAGGGAAGAAACAAAACTGTCATTACCAAACCACTGTCCACATAGGGAAACCAAGAGAATCTATACAAAACTACTAGAGTTCAGGTTTAGCATCATTTAGGAATATAACATCAATGTAAACACACACATACACGTCATTTCAAATGTGTATATACTGACTTCGAAATGTGTTTACAAAAATATTAAGTGAGATCATGTAGTAGGCATAGTATGAGGCCATTTTTGCCAAAGCTATTGTAATTAAGATAGTCTAGAATTGGCACATGGATAGTACCAATGGGACAGAACAGAGAGCCCAGAAACAGATCCCCACATATATGTAGAAGATGAAATATCAAATAATTAGTGATGGTACAGCTTGATATCCGCATGGAAAAAAAATTGATCTCTACCTCACAATACATATACAATAAATTTCAGGTAGATTAAAGACCTAAATGTGAAAAGAAGTATTTACAAATTTTAGAAGAAAAGTAGAGTATGTTATTCTATCTAAGGAAGTTCATCAAGGTATTTTCCCAGTAAAGTAAGTCTCCTCCTGAGTGGGACATGTGTAACAGGACAATATGATTGATAAAAAGATGCCAACAGACAAGATAAGATGGTTCTTGAATGGGAAAGGATTTGGAAGCTTCTCCGGGCAGAATGACTGCCTGAATCCGACAACAAC